AGCTAAATCACGAGTACAATGAGGTCCCCGCGAGATCTTCGAAGCCGGGCTGATTGCTGGGCTTTGTTGGCTCACAATGGTTGGCCGATGATCGACCTACCTCGAAGACCGTTAGCTAGGTCGGGTCATGCAGGAGGCACAGGAGGGCGATCTCGCGAAGGTGTCTTCTGGGCGCAAGAACAACATCAAGAAGTCGCTTGAAGGTTACGGTAGAGTTTGAGATGTATGAAGTAAAGTCCTCAAATATTGGGAGAAATATATCAATTCATAAATAAACTTTATTATGTTGTCATATTATAATCAGAGTTGGGCGTTAGCGCCGCTAATTTTTAACTAGCTAACGTACCGCTAAATAGCTAAAATTAGCGGCGCTAAATATTACGCTAATTTAGCTTCCAGCTGTTTTAGCGCAGATAACTTTAGCGCTAAATTAGCTATTAGCGGAAACGTACCGCTAACTTTTAGCTTAAGCTAAATTATCTATTAACTTAACTAAAAGCTAACTTAACGCTAACACTAGAAGAAATTTTATTTATTTCATTTTGTTAATTGATATTAGGATCGACTGTTATGTAATCAGGGGCGCTTTTTATGAAAATTGCCCCGGGCACCGACTTTTTGTAACTTTTCTGATTTAATCGATGTATGGGTCGACTATTAGATATTAGGGGGCGTTTATTATAAAAATATTGTCGGATTTTAGATACGCTCCCCCCCCCCCCGGGCACCGACTTTTCGTAACTTTTCTGATTTAATCGATATATGGGTCGACTATTAGGTTTTGGGGGGCGCTTTTTATAAAAATAATGTCGGATTTTAGGTGTGACCCTTCCCCTCCCCCCCGGGCACCGACTTTTCGTAACTTTTCTGATTTTATCGATATATGGGTCGACTATTAGGTTTTGGGGGGCGCTTTTTATGACAATAATGTCGGATTTTAGGTGTGACCCCTCCCTCTCCCCCCCGGGCACCGACTTATCGTAACTTTTCTGATTTTATCGATATCAGAGCCGACTATTAGGTTTTGGGGGGCGCTTTTTATGAAAATAATGTCGGATTTTAGGTGTGACCCCTCCCTCTCCCCCCCCCCCGGGCACCGCCTTATCGTAACTTTTCTGATTTAATCGATATCAGGGTCTACTACTAGGTTTTGGGGGGCGCTTTTTATGAAAATAATGTCGGATTTTAGGTGTGACCCCTCCCCCCCTCCGGGCACCGACTTTTTGTAACTTTTCTGATTTAATCGATGTATGGGTCGACTATTAGATATTAGGGTGCGTTTATTATAAAAATATTGTCGGATTTTAGATACGGCTCCCCGCCCTCCCCCCGGGCACCGACTTTTTGTAACTTTTTTGATTTAATCGATATCAGGGCCGACTATTAGGTTTTGGGGGGCGCTTTATATGAAAATAATGTCGGATTTGAGGTGTGACCCCTCCCCCTCCCCCTCCCCTCCCCGGGCACTGACTTTTTGTAACTTTTCTGATTTAATCGATATCAGGGTCTACTCTTATGTTTTCGGGGGCGCTTTTTATGAAAATGATTTCGAATTTGAGAATGGGGCCCCCGGGCCTCGACTTTTTTTAACTTTTCCGATTAAATCGATATTAGGGTCGACTATTATGTTTTGGGGGGAGCTTTTTATGAAAATTATATCAAATTTGAGATTGGGCCCCCCGGGCCACGACTTTTTTAACGTTTTTGATTAAATCGATATTAGGGTCGAATATTATGTTTTGGAGGAAAGGTTTCACGGGGGGGAGAGGTTTCACCTAGAATCCGACATTATTTTTATAAAAAGCGCCCCCCAAAACCTATTAGTCGACCCATATATCGATAAAATCAGAAAAGTTACGATAAGTCGGTGCCCGGGGGGGGAGGGGAGGGGTCACACCTAAAATCCGACATTATTTTCTTAAAAAGCGCCCCCCAAAACCTAATAGTCGACCCATATATCGATAAAATCAGAAAAGTTACGATAAGTCGGTGCCCGAGGGGGGGGGGAGGGGTCACACCTAAAATCCGACATTATTTTCATAAAAAGCGCCCCCCAAAACCTAATAGTCGACCCATATATCGATAAAATCAGAAAAGTTACGATAAGTCGGTGCCCGAGTGGGGGGGGGGGAGGTTTCACCTAAAATCCGACATTATTTTTATAAAAAGCGCCCCCCAAAACCTATTAGTCGACCCATATATCGATAAAATCAGAAAAGTTACGATAAGTCGGTGCCCGAGTGGGGGGGGGGAGGTTTCACCTAAAATCCGACATTATTTTCTTAAAAAGCGCCCCCCAAAACCTAATAGTCGACCCATATATCGATAAAATCAGAAAAGTTACGATAAGTCGGTGCCCGAGGGGGGGGGGGAGGGGTCACACCTAAAATCCGACATTATTTTCATAAAAAGCGCCCCCCAAAACCTAATAGTCGACCCATATATCGATAAAATCAGAAAAGTTACGATAAGTCGGTGCCCGAGTGGGGGGGGGGGAGGTTTCACCTAAAATCCGACATTATTTTCTTAAAAAGCGCCCCCCCAAAACCTAATAGTCGACCCATATATCGATAAAATCAGAAAAGTTACGATAAGTCGGTGCCCGAGGGGGGGGGGAGGGGTCACACCTAAAATCCGACATTATTTTCATAAAAAGCGCCCCCCAAAACCTAATAGTCGGCTCTGATATCGATAAAATCAGAAAAGTTACGATAAGTCGGTGCCCGGGGGGGAGGGGAGGGGTCACACCTAAAATCCGATATTATTGTCATAAAAAGCGCCCCCCAAAACCTAATAGTCGACCCATATATCGATAAAATCAGAAAAGTTACGATAAGTCGTTGCCCGGGGGGGGGGAGAGGGAGGGGTCACACCTAAAATCCGACATTATTTTCATAAAAAGCGCCCTCCTAAACGTCATAGTCGACTCTAAGACGAATGAAATCCGAAGAATTAGCTATTAGCTTTTAGTTGAAGATACAGATAAAGATAATTAGCGGTTAGCGGTAAGAACAGCTAAAAGTTAACTTGCGCTAAAAGTTAGCGGCTTGGCCCCGCTAATAGCTAGTTTAGTTGCGGAATTATCTGCCCGCTAATAGCTAATTTAGCTGTTATCTGTTATCTGTTAGCTATAGATAATTTTTGCCCAACACTGATTATAATTATATAATATTATAAACAAAAAAAATATCTAGACAAAAACGATATTAATAAAAATTATAGAATATGTTCAGAGAAAATCTATAAGCAACAGGAAGTAAAAAGATTTTGAGAATAAACCACAGAAATGAAAAAAAAAAAAAAAAAAAAAGCGGAAATCAAGAAAAATACAAATATTATAAGTTGATTCTCCAAATTTAAACTTAAACAACCATTCACTTCAATCAAAATTGGATACATAAAATTTATTTCATTATTGCATAGCGTTTATTTGTCATGTGAGAAGAAATCGGTAAAGAAGATATTTGAATGAGGACAAGGAAGGGGCATGGCGGATATGAGATGGCAGAGAATTCCATAAGGCAGAGAAGCAGACAAGAAACGAACGTTCGTTTTAATTCTAGTGGAAGGGGTATAAAATTCAGAAACACGGGATCTTGTTTTCTGGAAGCGGATTACGGATTTGAATCGTAGGAGGTTGTATAATTAGGAAGGGTAAACAAATCTTATGAAGCCGTTCATGAGTCGCTTAAAAATATAAAATATATCAGGAGTTTCCAAACGGTTGATCATAAATCAACGACAATTTTGAGCTAAGAATAATTATGAAACATTGCAGCAAAGCATTATAATATTGTAAAGAAGGATAAAATTCTTTCCAACATAGGTGAGCAATAGCATCGACTAGTAAGTCGAACTTTTTGATCAATCGTATGACTTGCATTATTTTATATATATATATATATATATATATATATATTTTTTTTTTTTTAAATCGGCCATGATAATAATAATTACTAATGATGAAATAATAATAATAATATTAATAATGAAATATATTCCAACTATATTTAAAAATTCAACAGGTAAATTTACAATACGGCTGATAAACCATACCCCAAGCAATCCGATGTTAGAACCTAAAGCCACATTATCATTAGAACCATAAAAGAATTAACAGAAAGAAGATCGGAAGCAAATATAGGTATCTATTTTGGAACTTATGAAGAACCAATGGAATCGTACAGTCATTGTGGAAAGTTTTATTTGTGATATAATAAGGATTTTACTAACTTTAGTTCATAGGCCTAATTATAAATAGTGTTCAAGTGATCTTGTAATAGATATTAACTTAGTAGTGCACAGCGCCTGTCTATTAATTGTTAAAGTAGTGGGAAAAGACGTAAAATTATTTCAGTTTTGTATGGGAATTCAGCTTTGGTCTCTTGTCCGATTGAAGTCCTGGATTTGTTGAACAAGGGTAAGCGGAATATTATCAAAGGATGCTGTAGTATGACTGAAGGTTTATGGAAAGGATCAATGATGAATAGGGATTTGTTGACTAGCGGATCCAGAATTTAATTTTTTTTTGGAGGGGGAGGGCTTCAGCCCGAAAGCTTTTTTTCAAAAAAATAACGATAATTACTTTGGAAAAAAAAAGAAAGAAACTAACTGCCTCTATGAAATAGTGTTTAAGTGATTCCTAAAGTTCTTTTAAATGTAATTACACGAACAATAATACTTTAAGAGTTAATTTTTAAATATTTATATCCATAAAACATGCTTATTATTTTAACATTCTGGGGGAGAGTGAGGCATCAGCCCGAAAGCCCCTCTCCCGTAGATCCGCCCGTGGATTTATTGCATATTTAGGAAAACATAAATAATGGTTCATTATTTATACTAGTTTATATATGTACATTAGTTTTAAATGATAGTTCTATTATATCACAATTATAAAAATTAGCTGACAATATCACATTCTTTTATTTTAAATTTAACTGTGCCCTTCGGTATTTTATAAATTTTTAATTTCCAATCTAGAAAAAAAAGTGACTTACGTGGCCACAACATCCTGGTTCTGCTCTTCGTCATCATCCTCGTCGTCCGAGTCATAGAAGGGATCCTGGTCGCGCTGGTTGTAGCGGGCAGCTTCATCGGGGGACAAGTTTTCCTTCCTTACCACCGTGTCGCCGCTGCGGTGCAGCTCCTTCTTCGAGACGCAGACTGCCGTGTAAGGGTCCTCCAGTAGACATAACTCCTTCTTCTTGCAGTTCAGCGGTTGGCACAACTCACCTGAGGAACAAACCAGAACCTGGTCAGTAGGTAACTTGGCAAAATACAAATAGGATCAGTTATTAAGTTATAAAAAACAAAAGCTTAGTATTGTTTACACCCACAACTAAACGAGACCTTTGATATTTCTGACACTTTTAATTAATCATTGAATCACTTTTACCGTTCGACGCAGTTCTTGTCTGCCAATCCTTTTAACTCTACACCACTTCCCATTTCAGATACAGACCTTTATCTTGCCTTTCTGCAAGACAAGGGATTTTCATGGAATTCTTTTACCAGAATAGACACACAAGATCTTAATTTGGCCTGTTATAACCTATTGAACAAACACTCTCGTGAAACGGACTTAAGATTTGACTTAATATGGGGCTTAGTTCGATTTGCAAAATGTAAACAATACTTTTAACAATAAATAGAACATTATTGAGAATAATAAAAAAAAGTTGTAACACAAGTGTCTTGTGTACTATTTCGTTTCCCTATTCTCTAATTTTTCTGCGCGAACATAAGTAGTGCGAACACACTTTTTTCATTTTCCATTTACCATTGAGATCTGAGGCTCTGGCCTCGACCCATGATAATGCCCTGTAATGGTTGATATTTATTAAAAACGTTTTGATATATATTTATTTATTTGTATTTCTCTTTGCTAAGAATTTTTGAAAATAGGTAACACAAATCCTCTAGTAATTTAATCAGCAGACTGGCGACGTCCGGCAAGAATATCCGAAACAGATATAATAAGAAATTTTTAAAAAATCAAGAAAAGATTAAGGAAAAAAAATCTTGAAGAGATCGAATAAAAGTCCTTCACACAAGTATGGGCATTTAAAGAAAATACTTGTCAAGAGAAGTTTACTTCATGAAAATTGGCGGAAGAAGAAGAGGTTGGTCCAGAAGAATGCAGAATGAGTAAATAGATAGATTAAGGAAACCCATTATTTATAAAAAAATCTAAAATAAAAAAAATATGTTTTTGTTATAATTTAAAAAAAAATATATTTCGGTCTTTATATGGTGTATAACGAATACATAGAACGCTAATAACTACATCGATTCATTAAGGCAGCATATAATGTTCTTTTAGTAAAACTAAGAAAAAAACCCTGAAAGGGTGAGGAAATCAGTAAACGAGAAAGCAATCATTCAAAGAAATGAGATTAAATGGGTTTGAATAAGCAAAAGAAATAACCTCTGAAATAATACATAGTTAAATTTAAGAAATGATAAAGAAAGAATAATAAAAAATTGTTTTGTTTTTTTGAAATTCCCTTTTCAACTAATGATGGTAGTTGTAGGGAAATAAATACTAAAGAAGGGAATCTTGAAGCTAAGCTAATAGGCGACGTTATTTTATCATGGGCTTGGAGTGGGGAGAGAGGGGGTGGGAGGGAAAGAGGAAGAAAGTTGTAGGAAGAGGGACAATAGACAGACTAAGACGGGAAAAGGAGGGGCAATATTTACCCGGAGGACCCGCCCAACTTCTTCAGCCTCCTAACTGCCAAGTTTTCCCAGGCTAATTCCATTGTTTAGGAGTAACTCTGCCATTCATCGGGAGCCTCAGGCAAAAGTTTGCGCGAGTGAGGAGGACATCTTGATGCCTCCCAGTATTATTTAAGAGACAAGTTGGCTGGAAGCGTTCCCGAGGGATCTACTTCCAGGAAGTAGTCTAAGCTGGAGGGGAAGAGCTTGTTTGTATATATATATATACACACAAAAAAATATATATTATATATATATATTTAGTGATTATATATATTACATACATATATACTTTTAACTTAGAGATGTAAAAGTATAAACAATTTTTTTTTTATGTATTAAGACACCAATCTACAATGATTGATAAAATTTATACTAAGAATGAAATCCAAAAATGGATGGAATGAGCATTGTAAAGATATGTGGAAATAAGGCGCAGTGACAATATTATTATATAAAGATAATAGTCCTTGGTACAGACCACTTTTTTTCAAACTTGGTAAATAGCTTCGTCTCATCCTGACCTACAAATATTTTAATTACGAAAACTCTAAGAATTGGGGCGTTTTCAATCTGCAGACCGGCAAACTTCGTTGTAATTAGGTATTAAAAATTCGTAAATATCCACATGCTTTCCACTTGGATCGTAAGATAATTTGATCATAAAATAGACAAAAAAAGGGTGGCCTAGAAAAATATTGGACCGCTTGGCCTATATAACCGCGTTGTTTTGAAAAGTTGAGGGTGTAGGTCACGCCAATCCGATATGTTTGCAGGCCACCGTTTGGCGTAAACTACACCCCCAACATGTTAAAATAACGAGGTTATACAGGCCCAAACAGCCCAATATTTTTGTAGACCACTTTTTTTCTCGACTTTTTGATCAAATTATCTTATGATCTAAGTGGAAAGAAAATGGGTAATTATGAGTTTTCAGTAGCTAATTAAATAGACTAAGTTTGATGATCTACAGATTGAAAACGCCACAATTCCGAGAATTTTCGTAAATAAAATACTTGTAGGTTACGATGAGATGAAGCTATTTACGAAGTTGTAGGCGGATGTTAACAATTCGATTAAAAGGGTTTTGTACCACGGACCACTAGAGGATCCAAGATTCAATTTTGAGGGGGGGCTTCAGCCCGAAAGATTTTTTTTTTCATATACATAAAACGATAATTAATTTGAAAAAAAAAAGGAAAGAAATTAACTACATATATGAAATAGTGTTTAAGTGGTTCTTGAAGTCTTATTAAATATAATTACACGAATAAGAATACTTCAAGAGATAGTATTCAATATTTTTTTCTGTAAATCATGGTTATATTTTACCATTTTGGGGGGGCTTCGTCGGGGCCATTTTGGGGCAATTTGGGCACCAAAAGCTTCAAAACATAAATGTATGAGACTGTAAAAAGAAAGGTGTTTTTTCTTACTTTCAATATTATTCTACAGTCTACCTGTTAAACGTAGCAATGGATTTTTTTTTCAGAAAAGATATAAGAAATTCGGATTCAAGATGGCATGATTTCCTGTTAATTTATTTAACAGTCCTCAGCCAGTAAAGTGAATCCATAAATTAAATTGTTGTAACCTCCGAAGGTGGCGCTGTGACAGGATAAGGGCGCGAACCCTTTGATCCTCAGTACGGTAACGTTACCGTTCCACCAGAGCCCAATAAAGATGATTCGATAATTAATAATGGATAAGGACAATTAATAGCCTGAAAGGTCGGGAGAGGCAATATTGTCGGATGAAAGGGGACCGGTCGAGTGTTTGTTCCAATTTGAGGCTCTTTGATCTGAAGAGAGGGGAGAGAGGTTGGGAGGGGGAGAGATGAAGGGGGGGGGGGAGAAGTTGAACCCCGGTCTAAGGGACCGCCTCTTTCAGTTTGTACTTACAAAGGCGTTTCCGAAAATGTTTTTCTGTTTTGGTATTGATTTACTAGACTGAAACGACAAGAAACCGCTCTATTACTTCACCAATTACTAGAAAAACGCTCTAAACTTCCAAATAATTACAAAAGACTCATATACATGACTATAATAAGGCCTATTTGGACTTACGGAGTTGAGCTATGGAGCTCCACTAAACCATCGAATTCCTCTCGTATCCAATCCTTACAATCTAAAATCCTTCCTAAAATCCTCAATGCTCCCTACTTTGTTACAAATAAAACCATCCATAATGACCTTAATGTTTCTTATATTTCAGATCTGGCCCAATCCAGATATCTATCATTCCATAATAAACTTCAGAATCATCCCAACCCTCTCGTTTCCAACCTTTGTTCCTCTTCAATTCCTGCTACCCTGCGTCTGAAAAGAAGATGGCCCCGTGATCTCCTAATGTAGAGATATCATTAGAGTGCTACCATTGGGTAGTTACTCAGCAAGTGTTTTAATGTCATTATATCCATTAAGTTCAAATTTACTGGATGTATTTATTTAATACAGTTGTAAATATCATTAAGAAATAATAATAATAGAAAAAAGATATTGATTAAATTATTCTAAAATATCCGGCGTTGAAATTCAAAATATAAATATTAGGATGTCCCGTAAGTTCCTTCTATTTTCTTTAATTGTTGTTCAAGTCTGAATTACCGGGTTATATAGGAACTGTTCTGCTCCATTATCTTCTTCCATCCCTCAAGAGGCCTCTTATACCTTTTTCCTAAACCGTAGAGATTTGAAAAATATTCGTTTTTATTTCTCTTTGGAACTTGTGACATTTATCACGGAGATATTTTTATAAGGATTAAAGAAACAAGTAGAATAAGCCCTCTAGTTAGTGTTGTCCAAAATCGGTCTTGGTCTGGCACTTTGCAAGACCAAGACCGCCTAACTGTTGCAAGACCAAGACCAGGACTGGTAAAAAAAAAATCGATTTTTAGAATAGAAATTAGAATATTTCTATCTAAAAAATTACAGTAATTTCTCTATAGTAATAAGCTAATAAGTAACTGCAAGACTGTTGGGAGATTCTTGCGCAAGACCAAGATCATGACCGAGACTGAATTTGTAAGACCAAGACTCGTCTCAGTCTCGCATTTGGGCAACACTACCTCTAGTTATGGACATAGCTGAGGATTTTGTTTGTATTTTTTGACTAATGCCTATGTATAAGTATACTAACGCCGTAATCAATATATGTATAAAATTCTTCGCTGTACATTTAGAATCTCTATTTGTACCCTTCTTCTATTTAGCACTTTAAAATTGAAAAAAATATTCAGTCCACTCCATTCTATGACAATATTTCCTAGATACGTTCCTCTATCAAATCATCGTCCTTCTTACCTGTACAACCTTCTCCAATTCAAGTTCTCAGACCATTTCCTTTTCACAAGATCTCGACCTTCCGATCTTTACATCTCTTCTCACAGATCTGCCTCATTCCAAAACTCCTTTATTGCTCGCTTTGTTAATTTCTGGAATTCTCTACCTATCAAAATTCAGCATTCACCCTCCCTATCTACATTTAAAATCCTCCTATTGCAATTCCTGTACCCAAAACAG